GAGCCTCGGTGGCCGTCTTTGGGCCATCAGGGAGGTGATCGATCAAAGGAGGGGGCTCCTTAATCAGCCCCTACCCAGGAGGCCAACTGGTTGCCAAAACCTACCGAAGTTTATGATTTTGGTATTTTCGCCGAGGCCTCTTGTGGCGTCTTGGGTGCCTCTGGGGGGCCTCCTGGGGGTCTCTTGGGAGCCTCTGGGGGGCAGCTTGGGGGCCTCTTGGGAGGCACTTGGGGCCTCCTGGGTACCTCTTGGAGCCGTCTTGGGGCACCCTTGAGGGCCTAGGGGGCCATCTTTGGGCCATACTGGAGGAGATCGATTAACGGACCCCCAAGAGGGTAAAAGGTGGCCGAAACTGGAGCCCCCTCCGCTTGGACCCCTTTACTTCTGGACGGCACCCGCGCCGCGCCCGCCCCGTTGCCCTTCTTCTGCAGCCCGCCCGCCTCCCTCTCGCGCGCCCCCTCCGCCACGACCCCATTATTTTGGCACGGCGCTGGCTCCGCGCCCCCCCCTCCCCCCATCTCCGCAGCTGGCGTGGCTCCTCCCCGCCAGCCAGCGCGCCCCCATGCGCTCCCACCTCTACATTTTGGCATGGCACCGGCACCGCGCCCCTTGCCCCCTCACTGCCAGGCCAGCTTCTCCTCGCCCGCCAGCCACCACGCCCCCTCCGCCCGGCCCTCTTATTTCGGCGCGGCGCCAGCACTGCGCCCTCCCTTGCGCCCCCGCGTCCAGCCCAGCTCTTCTTGCCCGCCAGCCAACGCGATTTTTCCGCCCCGACGCTGTTATTTCGTCGCGCCACTGGCGCCGCACGCTCCAATCCCCCCCACAGCTAGCCAGTCCTCTCTTTGCCCACCAGCCAGCGCGCCCCCTTCGCCCCGATCGTTTGAATTGCGGCGCACCGCTGGCGCCGCGCCGTTTGACACTCCCCCCGCAGCCAGCCCAGCTCCCCCCCCTCGCCCGCCAGCCAGCGCGCCCCCTGCGCCCCGACCCCTTTATTTCGGCACGGCACCAGCTCCGCGCCCCCCTCCTTTCACAGCCAGCCCAGCCCTTCCTCGTCCACCATCCTGCGCGCCCCCCCCGCCCCGACCTTTTTGTTTGGGCACTATCGGCCGCAGATCAGCCCAGTGGGTTGCGCCGTGGCCCCCGGCTGTTTCGGCCGCCAGTCCCGAACCATCGTCACGCCCGCCATGCAGACCCCTCTTCCCCGTCTTCGCCTCCGCGACTGCTTTTGCTCCCTCTCCTAATTCCCCTCCTCGTCTACTTGCTCGGTTTCCTGCTCCCGCGCTCTCCTTTTCTCGGCCTTCTCCCTTCTCGTCCTCCCTCCACTATTCTCTTTCCTTGTACTCCGTCTCCCACGTCCTCCTTTTATCTCAGTCGTCATTTTTTCCCCCTTTGCCCTCCATTATCCTCCTCCTCTTCCTCCTCCTCCTCTTCTTTCTCGTCCCCTCTCTCCCCTCCCTCCCTCCTCCTCCCCGTCCTTCTGTACAAGAGGTACGGCGTGCGTGCCACTTGTTTCATTGCTTGTTCCCGTATATTTAAAGGTTCTGTCAGAACCCTCCTGTGTCCATCTTTCGGCTCCCTTGGGCCATCCTGAAGTCACTTTGATGCCTCAGAAGCCCGTCGGAAGCGACACGGCGAGAAATCACGCAATATTGAAGAGCCACGGGTTTTGCCATCACGAGGCCATCTTTGACGCTCTGGCCGCTCGCGGAGGGATGGCCGCCCAGACCCACGGGAGTTGACTTTCCATATTAGACCAGGGCCCCCATCCACTCGATGCACGGCCGCGTGTACAGCGTGGAATGATCTCCAACGCGGCGTAGAGATGCCTCCAGGACGGTCAAAGATGGCTTCGAATACAAAGCAGGACAAGTTAACACTTACAAGCCAGGACAAGACCAAGTCGGACCCAAACAGACCCAGCAGGGTCCAAGAGGACCCCAAGCTGGCCCCAGCAGAGGCGCCCAAGACGCCCCTGAGACTACTGCAGTATGGCTCCAAATACAAACCCATCCCCGAATGAGACGAGAGGGGTTTGGAAACACTGATCCCTTAAAACACCTACGCCCAACGGGCTGATGTGATTCTGACGTTTTCTGACTTCTTGGTTCTCTAGGGGGGCCCTCGCAGTCATGGTTGCATCTGCTTCGGACAGCTGGTCAGAAGGCGCTCCAGAAGATGCCCTTGGAGAGGCTTTCAGCAGGAACAAAAGTATAAGGATGATGATGATGATGATGATGATGATGATGACGTTGCTGTTGATGATGATGGTGCTGATGCTGCTGCTGATGATGGTAGTGCTGCTGATGATGGTGTTGATGCTGCTGCTGATGTTGATGATGCTGATGATGATTATGATGCGGACGATTTTGGTGGTGATGATGACGATGCAGATGCGGATGACAATGATGATGCTGATGATGATGCTGACGATGCTGATGATGCTGCTGATGCTGATTCTGACAAACGATGGCGATGACGATGATGTTGAGGATACTGACGGTGATGATGATGATGATGCTGATGATGATGATGATCATGATGATGATGATGATGATGATGATGATGATGATGATGATGATGATGGTGAGGTTGGTGATGCTCATGATGATGATGGTGATGCGGATGATGCTGATGATGATGACGATGAGGGTGCAGATGCTGATGTTAATGAGGATTATGCGGATTCTCATGATGACGATGATGATGATGATGATGATGATGATGATGATGATGATGATGATGATGCTGATGCTGATGCTGATGATGATGCTGATGATGATGATGCTGACGCTGATGCTGATGATGCTGGAGATGGCGGCGACGATTATGATGTTGATGATGCTGATGATGCCATTGATGCTGATGATGCTACAGCTGATGCTGCTTCCCATGATTACGATGATGACGACGATGGTGAGGACGATGGTGCTGATGCTGATTATGCTGATGATGATTCTGATGACGATGCTGCTGATGATGACGACGATTTCGATGATGATGGTGCAGATGATGCGGATGTGGACGGTGATGATGATACTGATGATAATGCTGATGATGCCGTTGATGCTGATGTTGATGACAATGCTGATGATGAGGGTGGTGGTGTTGCTGGTGATGATGACGACGACGACTATGCTCATTATGGTGATGCTGATGACGATGATGATGCTGATGCTGTTGTTGATGATGATACTGATGATTATGACGCTAATGATAATGATAATGTTGTTGTTGATGCTGCTGATGATACTGATCATGGTGATGCTGATTACGACGATGCTGCTGATGAAGACCAATGATGATGCTGGTGATTGCGATGGTGATGATGACGACAGCGACGACCATAGTGCTGATGCGGATGATGATGAGGGTGATGATGATGATACTGATGATACTGATGATGCTGCTGATGATCATGATGATGCTGATGACGCTGATGATGATTAAACGCTGATGCTGCTGATGATACTGCTTACGCTGATGGTACGACGCTGGCGGCGGCGATCAGGATGATGAGGCCGACGACGGCGATGATGATGCTGATGCTAATGAGGATTATGATGACGATGGTGATGAGGCAGATGATGATGAGGCAGATGATGATGCTGATGATGATGATGATGATGATGATGATGATGATGATGATGGTGGTGGTGGTGGTGACAATGATGCTGCTAATGACGATGGTGATTATGATGATGATGATGATGATGATAATGAGGACGCCGACGATGATGATGGTTACGATGATGATGCTGTCGATGCTGATGATGCTTCTGCTGATGCTGATGATGCTTATCATGATTATGACGCCGATCATGATTATGCTGATGTCGATGCTGATGCTGCTGGTGATGATGATGCTGATGCGGAGGGTGATGCGGCTGATGATGATGCTGCTGATGAGCACGATGATGATGGCCATGTTGACGATAACGATGATGGTGATGATGATGACGATTCTGATGATTAGTGTCTTGTTGTTGTTGATGCTGATGCCTATTCGGATTTTCAGTTTTGTCATCAATGCTTTTATTTTCATTTTCGTTTTTTCGTAGCCATCTCTATTTTGATGAATATTACCGCTGTTACCATTTTTTCCTCATTTACCCTTGCTATAATGATGATCATGAAGATGATGCCGACGTTTGATGATGATGCTGACGATGCTGATTCTGATGACGATGACGATGATGATGACGATGCTTATGCTGTTGCTGATGATAATGCCGATTGTGCTGCTGTTGGTGATGATGCTGATGATGAGGACGACGACGCTCATGATGATGCTGATTTCGCTGCTGCTGATGATGCTGATGCAGATGATGAGGATGATGATGATGATGAGGATGCTGATGACGATGACGATGACGATGATGACGATGATGCCGATGATAATGATGATGCTGATGATGATGCTGATGATGATGACGATGATGATGATCAGGATCTATATGATGATGATGATGATGATGATGATGATGATGATGATGATGATGATGATAATGATGATTATGATGATGATCTGGGATGATGATGAATATGCTGATGATGACGATGCTGACGATGCTGCTGATGATGATGCTGCTGTTGATGATGATAACGATGCCGATGATGATGCTGCCGCTGATGATGATGATAGATATGATGATGATGCTGCTGATGATGATGACGATCATGATGATGCTGAGGAGGATGAGGATGATCTTGATGATGATGATGATGATGGTGATGATGATGATGCTGATGATGAGGATGAGGATGATGATGAGGATGATGATGCTGATGATGATGCTGATGATAGTGATGATGATGATGATGATGATGATGCTGCTGCTGCTGCTGCTGCTGATGATGATGATGATGATGATGATGATGATGGTGGTGGTGGTGGTGGTGGTGGGATGAGGAGGAGGAGGAGAAGGATAATGATAAGGAGGAGAAAGACAAGCATGAGGAGGAGGAGGAGGAGGACGAGGAGGAGGGTCCCCGACGCCCAGGAGCACGTGGCCATGTTCCCGCTGGACACTGCCAAGACTCACATGCAGGCCGCCTGCCTGCCTAGTCACAGACGTGCTGGCGGGGAGAGTCAAGGCCTTTGGCCTCGGGTACCTGGACCCCCGACCTTCTTGGCGACTCGACAACAACAAAAACACTCAGCGAAGGCACTAGCGGAGTCAGAAGCGCTCCGGGACACGGAAGCGGCCTAATTAGCTACTAAACGCGCCGCAGGCCGGCCGGCCCACTCACCAAGCAGCAGCGGCAAGCTGAGGGCGTCCAGGGAAGCTCAGACATTTGCAGCCCAGCAACATGCTGGAAACAACAACAAAAACACACAGCATACAAAATTTCAGGCGGCGGGTGCACGGGGTGAGCGAGAGGGGGTTGCGCAGGCTGTCTCAGAAGGCTCGGAGGGCCCCCCGCCTTCTCAGAAGGAGTCTGGTCGGCCTGCTCCGAGGCTGCAGACGGCTTCTCAGAAGCGCGAGGGGGCTCCTGCAACGCCCCGCCGCCTTTGAGAGAAGGCCTGCCCGGGCTCGCCGCCGAACAAAAAGGTTTTTTTCCGCCACTCGGCGCCCAAGGGTCGCTCCAGGGCCCCGGGGCGGCCACGGAGCGACCCAGGACGACGAGCCAGCTGGTCCCTGGGCACTGCGGGCGGGAGCGGCGAACAGGGGCTGGCGACTCGAAACGGGCCCAGGGATTGAGCAAATCAGGACGCCGGCCGGATTCGACGTTTCCGCGCTCGTGAGCCCCGAGGTTGTCTGTGATGGGGTCCAGGGAGGGCCTGGGCGAGGACCACCGAAACGGGCCAAGTTGGCAGAGCGGTGCCCGGGCTGCTGGGGCGGCCGCGCTGGGTGTTGGCTTCCGAACAGGGCCACGACCAGGCGGCCGTGTTGACCCCCAGGAGGTCAGACGCCCTGCTGGGACGGAGAGGAGGGCCTCGGTAGCAAATCATGGGAGCCTTGTGTACCCTCGCAATTTTGTTTTTCGAGTCGATTAGCGTCGATTGTCGTCTGGGAGTCGATGAGATAGCGCCGATTTAGCGTCGATAGCATCGATTTGGCGTCGATGCGCGTCGATTGGCGTCGATTTAGCGTCGATTCGCAAGAGCCGACAAGATAGTATGGGAGGCTCCCATGAGTTGCCACCGAAGGAGGGCCTCGGACCGCCCGCTGCGCGCTGGGACCACCTGGGTACAGGAGCCGCCTGGCGCCTTCTGATCCGCCTCGGATGATCCAGCTCGTCCATGCCAAGTGCCTCAGCGACACACTTTTTTCGTCAGCGGCGAGGCAGAGAAGCTGCTCCAGCGGTTAGCCATGCCTCAGCGACACACGTGACCGCCGTAGTGCACAGCGACACACTTTTTTCGTCAGCGGCGAGGCAGAGAAGCTGCTCCAGCGGTTAGCCATGCCTCAGCGACACACGTGACCGCCGTAGGACCCTCCCGATCAACGTCATGAGCAAAAGTCGCCCAGACATGGTCGTGTGAAGGTGGGCCTCGTGGATCACTGTCTGGTCGCTGCACCTGGTCATCCAGTGCCCTCGCGGCTGACCCACCGCCTGCAGCCCCGAGCAATATGCGGAGACCGCGTGCGCTGCAAGTGCCGCAAGCGACGCAGCCACTGATCAGACCGCCGACCACACAGCTGAGGAGGCCGCCGCACAGGGTGGCCACGTCGGGGGAACAAGCGCCCGGCCCGCTAGGCCAAGCGTATGACCGCTCCAGGCCCAGGGCCCGGGGCCCCGCGAGGGTCTGGATCGCCCCGGCAGTCGGAGGCGCCCGCTCCCTTCCTCTTCTTGGTGCCGTCCTCGCGGCCGTGCAGGTTCTGGTGGTGATCGCTGCGGCTGCCGTCGGCCCGGCTCGCGGAGGGCGAGCCATGCCATCTATGCTGTGCGACGTACGTTGTGCAGTACATGCGGTGCAACATGTGTGGTACAACACATGTGGTACAATCTAGGTTGTGCAATCTAGGCTGTGAACTCTAGGTTGGGCAATCTATGTTGTGTAATCTCTGCCGTGTGGTGCACTCTATGTGGTGCAATCAATGTGGCGCAACATAGGTCGATCAATGTATGTTGTGAATCTCTGTTGTGCAGTCTATGCTGTGCAGTCTCTGTTGTGCAATCGACGTGGTGCAACCTATGTGGTGCAATCTGCGTTGAGCAATATATGCTGTGCAATTTTTGTGGAGAAAGATAGGTGGTGCAATCTGTGTGGTGCAAGACACGTTGTTCAATCTGAGCTGTGCAACGTCTGCGGTGCAATCGATGGGGTCAAATCTATGTTAAGCAATATTTTAGGTGCAATCTATGGTGTTCAATTTGTGTGGCGAAATCCATGTGGTGCCTTCTATGTGGTGCATGATGTGTTGTGCAATCGATGTTGAGTAATCTGTGCGGTGCAAGTGATGTGGTGCAATCTTTGTGATGCAGTCTGCGTGTTGCAATCTATGTGGTGTTCTGTTTTTTCGTACAAGTTGGTTGGCACATTCCATGCTCTTGTTGCAAACATCCCACCTACCCACCCGCAACTTGGTTTGCAAAACCCATGCGGTGGCGATTGCGATGAATGCTTGGCGTCGGCTGGTGCATCTCTGCGGCCGCGATAGCCCGCGCATGCTTGCGCGCACAGCGGCCAACTCGTTCGGAGCGACCGACGCGGCCGCGGTGGCGCTGACCGCTGGTCACCTCCCAGCGGGCACCTGAGTGTCAGTCGGTGACTTGGGCGGGCGCGGTATCATGGCGACGCCGACAACGGTGGACACGATTATGAGAGTAGCGGTGACGGTGACGATGGTGGCGATGACGACGGCAAGGCCAATGACGGCTCCGATGTTGATCACGCCGGCCGATAACGATGACGATGTCCTCGCGTCGGCGATGCAAGTTTTTGAAAAGTTTGACATGCGCGCGCGGCCGACGCGCGCGGTGGCCCGCGGTGTAATATTTGACGAGGATCGTGCCCCCCCAGCACGGGCGTAAGGGCGTTCGAACGAATTCGGCATGCGGCGCGAACGGCCCGCTTGGCAGATTTTGATGAACATGTTGAGGAACCTATGGTGTCCTGAAAAATCCGCACGACCGTGAGCGCAATCTTTCTTTATTTGAAAAATGATGTTGCGAAGCTACGTTTCTTTCTGGTTCGGGACATTCGTTTTTGAAGTCCTTGCGGAAACGATGGTTTCTGAATGATTTCGGCATGCGCGCGCGGCGACGGGCGCGTGTGCGCGTCGTCCCGTTTTTCTGTAATGAATTCTTGCGACAACATGCGCGCCTGGGCGTTCGAACGATTCCGGCATGCGCGCGCGGGAGGCCTGCTTGGTAGCATTGTATGATCATGTTGAGCAGCTCTTGTTGCATCTGTTTTTTTGGTATGTGTATATGCACATGCATGTACATACACACATACATATTTTCTTCTTCCTAGATTCTTACAAGCCTGGGGGGTGGGGAAAACTCCCCCCCCCAAAACTGGACCCCCTTGATCTGGGGTTTTCGGGCTCCCTTGGACGTCCTTGGAAGAGGTCACCCGGCTTTCCGGGTCTCCAAAAACGCCTTGCCAGCAGACCCAGAGCGATCCGAGGGGGCATCAGAAAGGCTCATGGGAAGCCCCAGACAGCACAAGAGCGCTCCAAGAAGGACCCCAATTGCGTCAGGACGGCCCAGGACGGCCCATGAAGGCGCCAAAACGGCCCACGAGGGCCCCGAAAACACCCCCACGATGTTTCCGAATGCCAACATAAAGACCCCCAAGGCACCCCAAAAAGCTTTCCAAGAGGCCTTCAAAGCTCAAAAATCGACCCTTCGGATTTCATCAGCTTTCAAGACGGTTTCACAGCCCCCCAGATCGCCTCCAGACGCCCCAAAAGGCCCCCAAGAAAGCTTCAAGACGGCCGAGCCGGGCCCCACGATCGCCCACGAGAGCCCCAAGACAGCCCATAATGGAACCAAGAGGCCCCCCAAGGGCTTCCAGCACAGACCCAAAAGGGCCATCGGAGGTCCCCGGAAGTACTTGCAATTTTAGCATATTCGCCTTTCGGATTTCATCAGCTTTCAAGACGGTTTCAAAGCCCCCGAGATCGCCTCAAGACGCCCCCAAAGGCCCCCAAGAAAGCTTCAAGACGGCCGAGCCGGGCCCCACGATCGCCCACGAGAGCCCCAAAACAGCCCATAATGGAACCAAGAGGCCCCCCAAGGGCTTCCAGCACAGACCCAAAAGGGCCATCGGAGGTCCCCGGAAGTGCCCAAGATGGGTCCAAAGGGGGGCCCAGCGGGCCCATGCTCCCCAAGACGGCCCAAGAAGGCCCCAGGACGGCCCATGAAGGCGCCAAAACGGCCCACGAGGGCCCCGAAAACACCCCCACGATGTTTCCGAATGCCAACGTAAAGACCCCCAAGGCACCCCAAAAAGCTTTCCAAGGGGCTATCAAAACACAAAAATTGTCCCATTCCTGGTGTAAAACTTACAAGTTTCGCATATTCGCCTTTCGGATTTCATCAGCTTTCAAGACGGTTTCACAGCCCCCCAGATCGCCTCCAGACGCCCCAAAAGGCCCCCAAGAAAGCTTCAAGACGGCCGAGCCGGGCCCCACGATCGCCCACGAGAGCCCCAAGACAGCCCATAATGGAACCAAGAGGCCCCCTAAGGGCTTCCAGCACAGACCCAAACGGGCCATGGGAGGTCCCCGGAAGCACTTGCAATTTTAGCATATTCGCCTTTCGGATTTCACCAGCTTTCAAGACGGTTTCAAAGCCCCCGAGATCGCCTCAAGACGCCCCAAAAGGCCCCCAAGAAAGCTTCAAGACGGCCGAGCCGGGCCCCACGATCGCCCACGAGAGCCCCAAGACAGCCCATAATGGAACCAAGAGGCCCTCCAAGGGCTTCCAGCACAGACCCAAAAGGGCCATGGGAGGTCCCCGGAAGTACTTTCAATTTTAGCATATTCGCCTTTCGGATTTCATCAGCTTTCAAGACGGTTCCAAAGCCCCCGATATCGCCTCAAGACGCTCCGAAAGGCCCCCTAGAAAGCTTCAAGACGGCCGAGCTGGG